ATCTTCAACAATATGAATCCAATTTATGAATCAGAAAAAGGAATTTGAATCAGGATGCTGGAGATAGAAAATAATTCTGTGGGTAAAAGAAAAAAAATATATTTAAATAAAAAATAAGATAAGAAAGAAAAGAGAGTTATATTGATATAGTATTTTCTCTCATAAAAATTTTAATTCAATTTTTTTATTACAGTATTTTTTTTATATACACAACTTAAATCATGACTTGTCTTCTGCAAATTAACATGTCCATACATTATCTGGTTCCTCCCCTTGTAAGAGAGACATGTCAATATTGATGGGACCAAAATCTGTTGGTATAAAATTGACATGAAGTTTGTGTTTGGTATGCGAATTCGTGTTATAATTCGAATCATAGTTAGTGAATCGCTATAGTATTTTTTCTCACAAAAAATACACATAAATCGAGAGTGATTCTGAATCCGTGAACCAGACGTCCATGAAATGATTGCTCCACATAAAACAAAAAACAAAACCATAATAAAACAAGCCAAAGGTAGACCATTGTGCACAGAATGGAAAAAATTAATTTCAATTAAATTAATGGGAGAGGCTGAAGTGAAGTTGTAAATTCCAACTACTTTTATGGATATATATATATATATATAAATATATATATCTTGCTACAAAGTTTGAACTTTCTAGTTATTTGAAAATTTATGAACTAGCTCTATCATAAATTTGTAACAATTAAAACATAGTACGCCCATAATTTTTTTGCTTATGTTTAAATAAACAATAAAACAATTGAAACCGCAATGATTGATGCTATGTTTTTGCTACTTGTAATTAATTTAGAAGCTTCATGTGATTGATGCTCTAGAATTAATAAATACGGTTTTCAATAAATATAAATTAATAAGTCATCGCAGATGAAAATATGAAATCAGAAGTTCCATATAATTTAATTAACCTGCCAAAAAATTGATTCAGAAACTCACGAGTTTAATAAAATAATTAAACATTTGAGTGAATGGAATCTTTCTTTGTTAATACAAAATACTTAAAATAAACCTCCCTAGTCATAAACATGTACATAGTATAGAGCTGGCCGCCCCACTTGCCACTTCATTTATTGGGAATTATGTGTTGTCGGGACAATGGGATTCAAGAGGAAGAGCTAAAATAATTTCATTGATGATGATCACAATATTGAGGAAAAACGACAACAAAATAAGCTAGGGTAGGTTATCGTTTACAAAGTATGTCACACTTGGTTCGTTGAGCTAATTTAACATTATACATGTACTAAAAGAAAGGACGGGATTTACTATTCATGCTACAGTGCAATGAACCGTGTCTTTCTTGTTTTACTCTTACTTATTTCTTCAGTTAAATTTTTATTCCTGCTATGTCCTTTTGAAAGTTACTATAGTACCCTTATTTCAATTTCATTTTTTTTGGTTTAATCTGACCGTTTTGGTCATTTGCACTCAAATTGAGTGTTTTACTTTTTTCCTTTGTGTTTGCTCCCTTCTACAACCTTCTACATCTTTTATTTTTTTTCTTTGTTTCTGGAGCTTTTCTTCGTTCCGTCTTCTGCCTTCTGCAACGTTCTGTCCTCTCTCTCTCTCTTTCGGTGGATTTCTTTAGAAACTCTGGTTCTCTTCTTCTTCTATTTTGTTTTGCCTTTTGTCATCTAATTTTGGTGATAATTTTGGGCTTCCATTTGTTCTTCGTTGTCGGTTATCTGGGCTTTGGTTCTTCGATTTCGTTTGGGCGTTTTCTCTGGTTTTGATGGACGCTTTTTTGGTTCAACTTGGCTTTAGTGGAGGGCTTTTCGATTCCTCTTGCCTACTTCTTCATTGGGTTGATCTGCGATTTTGGTTTGGTTTTCTATCTCCTCTTGCCGGAGTGCATGTTTTGTGCTTCCCTTTTTAATATTTTTCCCTTCGTTTTTGTTGGTTCTGTTCCTTCGTTTCTTACTTTGTTTGTTTTCGATTTGTTTTGCAAAATTTTTATCTTCTACCGTTTCTTCTCTTCATCTTGATGTTTTCCTGTTTTTTGGGTTATACTGTTCTATTCATTTAGGGTTTCGATATTTAGAGTTAATCTCCTTTAGTATAAGTATTTATTTATTAAAATCTTCTTTATACTAATTTTCTTTGGTTAATTTTTGTAATGTTGATTGTAATTAAGAGTTTTTTTACCTGATTTTTCTTTGCGTTTTTTTCTTGCAGGGGCATTTCAGAAATATTTTGTCTTTCAATTTTTTAAATACATTCAGCGTGAAAATCTACAGAGCTCATATTCAGTGTAGAAATCTGCTGATTTCGTAAGTTTTTTTTTTATCATAATAAGGTATATCAAATCTTTATAAATTTTGATGTTTTTCCTGGGGTTTCTTTTTATGTTTTTTCCCCGTTTTTTCTTTCATATTTTTGGTAGATTTTTTGGTCCTTTTTTTTCCTGTTTACTTTTTCTATATTTTTTTTTCTTGCAGGGGCATTTCAGAAATGTTTTGTCTTTCAATTTTTTAAATACATTCAGCGTGGAAATCTGCATAGCTCATATTCAGTGTAGAAATCTGCTTATTTCGTAAGTTTTTTTTATCATAACATCTTTGCTGGTCAGTTTTCAAAATTTTCTCTGTGTTCCATTTTGAATCACTTTCGTCCTTATTGCAAATGTATCGTTTTGTCTTCAGTTTTTAACTTCTTTATTTGTTCTTATTTGTGCCCTTTTAGTCGTTTATGTGCAAATAAAGGTTCTAAGCTATTTTTCTTTTTTTGGTATTTTGGATAAAACCTTTAATAATTTAGCTCACAGCCAAATAGATTACCAGGTCATATTTCAGTTACTTATGATATATATCATTAACAATAGGAGATAAATACCTGACCCAATTATTTAATATACAATTTTCTGGTTTCTTTATCTTTTGTTGGTAGTCAAATACATTGTTGAATTGTATTTTTGTTATCTATATATCAATTTCTATAAATTCTTTGTCCCACTTATTTAACTGAACAATATGAAGACAATTTTTTTCTTATATACATATGGAAATTATATATGTGATACATTTATCGAAGTAAATGTATTGTAAAAAGTGTTTGATCTTCTTTCTTTTTTAGAGCACATTTACCATAATATATATTCATTGTATGATAATATATTTTGTTGTATTTTGCTTATTTGGAGTAGATTGGGTGTGAGACATTGAACACCACATGTATTTTGGCTCTCAATCATTTACTGCTTTGCTTGATTATCAATTGTTTGTTGCTTTCTCTTGCTATCACTGTATCTTTTTTTTTCTCTGTATTCGGAATTGGTTGGCTGACATTTCAAACTTAAACGAGTGCTTATAGCATTCCAGGTATTTTTAATAAATCTTGCCCAAATTTTTTACATATCTGTTGCTGATGTTAGATATATTAGTATGATGTGATTGTATCAATATGTGTTGTTTCTGTTTCATAATATCTATCTGTTCATAGCTGATTTTAATATACTGTTAATAAACATTACTATTATATATTGCTCATAGTGATTTTTAGGTTTTTTCCTCTCTTTTTCTTAAGGATAGTTTGATCATTTTAAAGGTTAAAAAATTAATAATTGATTAAGATAAAGTATAGATTTGTATATTAAATCTAATTTAAAGGTATATATTTAATGAGATCAAGATTCAAAAGTGTAATTTTTAAATAAACCTAAAGTTCATGGTATAAAAATATGAATATTCCAGTGGTTTTTACAAATGAGCAAAGATATGTACTAAACAAAGAAATTCATGAGAAAGGTATAACAAAATTATTTTTAAAAATCTACGATTCCACGTGTGGATACACGCTTTCATATTGATAAGCAGTAGACCCTTTTCATTATTCAGCAAAATAATAATAATTTGAAACTTTTCATATCCATTCCAAAAAAAGAAAACAAAAATCACTCCTCATTACAATAAAATCGAGTATTTGTTCTCTTCTTTCCGTCTTGTTAGTTGTCCATCAATTAAGTATTTGCCGTGTCATTTAAATTTAACAGTCTTATTGTATAATAAGAATTAAATACTAAAATATACTTAAATAATTTATAAAATATTAAAATTTAATTATAAAGATAATCAACGACACACGAAAATGAGACAATAGATTTTAATTCATTAAAGTCAGGCCTTACTAGTATTCCAAACTCACGACACAATTCCAGATTTATGTGTTCCAATATTGGCTCAACCCCGTTTACTTTACCGATTCGAGTTTAGAATTTGAGTTTTGCTACAGTAAAAAGCTCTCACAAACAATCCCATTTAACTTTTTTGCTACAGTAAAAAGCTCTCACAAACAATCCCATTTAACTTTTTTGCTACAGTAAAAAGCTCTCACAAACAATCCCATTTAACTTTTTTGCTACAGTAAAAAGCTCTCACAAACAATCCCATTTAACTTTTTTGCTACAGTAAAAAGCTCTCACAAACAATCCCATTTAACTTTTTTGCTACAGTAAAAAGCTCTCACAAACAATCCCATTTAACTTTTTTGCTACAGTAAAAAACTCTTACATAAAATTACATCTCAACTCGAATTACAAACTCGAATCAGCGAAGTGAACGGGCCACAATCCAAACCCACTATTATTTTTGTTTTGATTTTCACCGAGTATTGCAAAGAAATACATTTTTTAATCGAGGGACAAAGAAATCTATTGTTGAGAGAAGGGAAAAGTTTGGAAGTCCTATAAGAACAGCCCACGGAATACCCTCATGAATTAATTAAGTGCTTCCCTCCAACTTGATTATCTCTTTTTCCTTTAATGTCTTTTTCTTCTTTCTTCATCAAATTATCATTATATAAGCCCCCCCACTTGCTTTGGACCGTAGACATATTGTCCCATCCAATAATTTCAGAGTTCCATAACTTCTTAACCTAGACTCAGCCCCACAATATCCACCCACCCCTTTAATTTAAGCTTAAACTTTAATCTACGTTATTAATTATTATTATTATATAACATAAAAAATATATATTGTATTGCGTAATTGCGTGCACGTCCCTAATAAACTAACACACATATCTATCTGTCAACATGACGGCCCATATTAAACCCCTCCGGCCTCCGTCCCCTTCCTTCACTCTCTCTCTCTCTCCCCAATTTTCTTTCTAGAGCGAGAGCTCAAAAAACATACATAACAAAAATCAAGGGTCGAGATTTGATCATTTTTTCTGATCATATTACATGGACCGTCGATTTTCTTCCGCCGACACAGAGGAGTACGCCGAGCCCGTGTCGGAAAATGGGCCGGACTCGCCCTCCTCAGGGGACGACATGACCAAGACGGCCAAACCATCACCCAAGAAAAGGTTAGCTTAATCAATCAATAAATAAGTTATACGTGTATCTTTTTTTGTGTTAATATTCGATTTTTTGTGTGTTAATTTTGAGAATCTTTTTTGGGAAATTTTACCGTTACAGCAAGAGAGGAGTTCAGAAGAGGGTGGTGTCAGTGCCGATCGGTGACGTGGAGGGATCTAAGAGCAAAGGGGAGGCATATCCGCCGTCGGATTCGTGGGCCTGGAGGAAGTACGGCCAAAAGCCCATCAAAGGATCTCCTTATCCCAGGTTTGGGAATCTCTCCAATTCTCTTTAATTTCGTCTCAAGGTTTAGTTCATATTTTTCATCTACCAAAAATCAAAATTAAGACCTTTTTTTTTTTTCTTAAACCATAGCTTATACACATATTTAAGGGAAAAAAAAGAGCAAATAATGGTTTGTGCTTAGTAGTCGTTGTATTCTCCGCCAGTTGAGACTTGAGAGATGAGTGATCTGGTTTTGGATTTTCCATTAAATTAATTTTAATTAATTAATTAGAAATTGCACAACCTGGGCCTGTCTCTGTCTGGAGGCGGCTCTACTAAAATGCGATTGTAGAGTAGTTGTTGGGGACGTGCATGTGCCCCACGCTCCCAACTCAACGTGTGAAAAATACGCTCCATTCCCAACAAAATATGTTCACGTGTGGGAATTACAAAAAGGACAAACGTCACTCACACGCCAATGTCCAACAAAAGCGTTAATTTCACTTTGGGTTCTTGCTTACGTTTGTTGTTTCATTTTGGTCCATAACTTTCAAAAGATTACCAATTGGATCCTATACTTTATGCTCTTTATCCAATGTTTGGGCCATTGATTACTGTTGTTAATATTGTTGTCAAGAAAGGACTAAATACATTGAACAACGAGCGTAGTTTAAGGTGTAATTTGTAACATTTTGAAGTTGAAGGATAAAATAAGAGAAGAAACATAATTTAAAGGCTACAAGTGAAACTAACAAACAAAAATTTGTACATTTTAATTTGGGATTTGGGGGGTAAATGACCCTTTTTTAGAATTTTTTTAATAAATAGTCGAAGTTTTATAAAATTAAAAAAATGACCCAGTTTTTATTAATTTTAGTTTATCATAATTAATTTTAGTATATTATTAATTAATTAATTATTATGTATCACTGAATAATTATAATTTATCACTGGTTAACCACTATAAAAAACCACATTTTTCTCTAAAAATTTAAAAGCTTGGCTGTTTGTTCAAAATTTAAAAATTTCGACTATTTATTTAAAAATATGAATAAAAAAGGTCATTTACCTAGTTTTCCTTTTTAGTTTTTGCCCAAATTCTTATCACTCTTTCAGGAAAATACGGAGCGTGTGAAGCACGAGCGGATATGGTTGTGGTTGTACTCATATTGTAGTCCAAAACAAAACAAATACATACTTCTTTCCTCTGTTTGGATTATCCTATCTTCCCCAATTAAAGAAATATTCTCTTTTTGGGGTTTTAATTTACGAAAATATTATATGCAGGGGATATTATCGGTGTAGTAGTTCGAAGGGGTGCCCGGCGAGAAAACAAGTGGAGAGAAGCCGCGTGGACCCCACCACGCTAATAATCACCTACGCCTGCAATCACAACCATCCCGTCCCCACCAAATCACACTCCTCCACTTCAGCACCCGCATCCGCCACGTCAGCTGCCATGATCTCCGACGAAGTCCTGGCCAAAACTCCGGCCGAGATCGTGGTCTTCTCCGGCGAATCCGACATCGAGATCGGCGACGCCTTGCTGGACGGCTACCACCACCAGTGGTTCGACGACGTGGCTTCGACGGCCGTGCTCGAGAGCCCGATCTATGGCGGCGCTTACGTGGACGCCGACGTTTCGACGGCGTTCTCGGCAGTGAGCGGAGAGGACGAGTCTCTGTTCGCGGATCTCGGGGAGTTGCCGGAGTGCTCGGTGGTTTTCCGGCGGCGGATCGTGGAACCGGAAGAGCAGAACCGGAGGTGTGGGTTGAGCGCGGTTACAGGATGAGAGACTCTGGTCTGGACCACGCATTATCCTTCTTCGCTTACTTTGTTCGAATCAAAATGTTAACCTCAATTGAGAAATCACAAATTTTATTGTAAAAAAAATGTTACCTTCCTTTTTTTTGTTCTTTTATTCGCTTAAACATTTTCGTTTTTTGTTTTGTCTCTATCAAAAATGTACAATTAATCTAGAAAGAGGAATAAAAAAAAAATAAAAAAATAAAAGAGGCTTTTTTCTTCAAACGTTGTTATTTTCGCCTTCTATCTTCCCTCTGTATTTTAATCATTTTTCTGTCTCATAATAGTTGGCATATCATATACGTAGCCGCCATTACCAAAGGATAACAGTAATATTAGCATTAAGATTAATTGAACAAAAAAGATTAATTGGATTTGGATAATCTAAAAAAATTAATAAATAGAAATATAAGGGAAGCTTGTAAGGATTGGGCCTGTGAGTTTCTACACGTAGTCTGTTATGATTGAGCCCAAAGGCAGCCCAATCGTAAAGGAAGTACCGAGTGACAGGCAATAAATTGATAATGGTAATTCAGCTAAAGAGGAGCACTTTGTAGCAAATTTGCAGAGTAAAAAGAAAGTACTTCGTAACAAGGACTAATAAAGCAAACAATCCCAAAGGACCCTCTCAGTTACAGGACCAGTCCTAGTAATGCAACTTTCCCAGAGAAATTTATCCGACAGATTAGGCTTCTTATTCTACAGAAATGATTGTTGTGTAAATCATGTACAGCCAAAATATAAAAAGCCAATGCTGCAACAGAATACACCAGAGCTAGCTTGAGCAGCATCCGATTCTCTTGAAGACTGAAGCATCATCTTTGACATTTATAGTCTCTCCCTTTGAGGGAAGGGCGGAAGAGCTTCCGGAGTCGCCTGCCTCGACCGCCCTCTTGCTCACAATTCGATATATTTGTGTCAAGACCTCAGTGAATGCGCTCTCGACGTTGGTTGCTTCCAGTGCAGAAGTTTCCATGAAGTAGAGGGACTCCCTCTCAGCGAAAGATTTCCCGTCGTCAGTGGAGACGGCCACCAGGTGGCGAAGGTCGGATTTGTTGCCGATGAGCATGACTACAATGTTGGGATCAGTGTGGTCCCTCAACTCCTTCAGCCACCTTGCTATGTTCTCAAACGTCGAGTGCCTAGTGACATCATAAACAAGTAGAGCACCAACCGCTCCTCTGTAGTAAGCGCTGGTGATAGCACGGTACCTACAAGAATAAGATGCAATAAACGGATAGTAAATATAATGGCCATCAGTGTCAATCCAAAGCAGCATCTACCAATGGGGCATTTGTCACCAGAAAGAATTTGTTTCCATTTGCATCAAAGAATGAGTGTTAAAAGATTCTCACCAAGACAAATAAAGAGGGGTGTGTGTATATATATAATTATATATTACATATATACCGCACACAATATATATATATATATATATATATATATATATACACACAAATGTAAGCTATCACTAGGAATTAGACCACCCTTTGGATGGTCGTCCCAAGTATATGTCAAATACATTCCAATAGTGTCTTCGAATCAAGTTAGGACACATCACACATGCAAAATGCTAAAAATATATAAATAAACTTCCCAATGCTAGGCAGGATCAGAGGTTAGCTAGCAAGCAAATATATCTTCCTCTCAATAGACTCCACCAAAATGAAAACGTCAAGTCAGAATCAAAATAAGTACCCGTGTGAAAGTCTTGATAGTCAAATAATATAAACTAGTGCTACAGCAAGTAAGCTTCCGCGAAAGGGTAACAAATTGTGCTTAATTTTTATTCTGTTATTCCATACGAGCTTTATAAAGCATTTGACAACATTCAGATGATGTGCATTTAGTAAATTTACTTCTTTTTTTTTCCCGGTCAATGCGCTTGTGAATTGCATTATTAGTCTCATCTTCTACCTTCTAGTTTATGTCAGGTAGTACGTTGTTATTTACATAATACGAAAGGGTAACAAATTGTGCTTAATTTTTATTCTGTGATTCCATACGAGCTTTATAAAGCATTTGACAACATTCAGATGATGTGCATATAGTAACGTTACTTCTTTTTTTCCCGGTCAATGCACTTGTGAATTGCATTATTAGTTTCATCTTCTACCTTCTAGTTTACATAATACCTAATTATATGCCGCCTTCATCACAACCCCAGAGAGAGAGAGAGAGTGTAATTAGTATAGTATCATGCTATGGCAACTAAATATGGTGCCCATCACCTATCAGAAACCTAATCAACAGCATGTCCAGTATCATGCTATGGCAACTAATTATGGTGCCCATCCACTATCAGAAACCTAACCAACAGCATGTCCACTGAAGACAAACTAGAGTGCCTTAGATCCTACGAATGCAGGATACCATTTACCCTTCCAGCTAAGTAAGAAAATCTTTTGCTTTGAAAAATGAACCGACTTTTACATAAAATAAATAATTTTTAGCTCTCTAACATCCACACAGCACTACATTGAGGGGTCTTTTATCATGAACTTCTGGAAGAGTATAAAACAGATACAACATGAGAATATCAAAAGGTATCTAAATACAAATCACAGCGTACAAAAGCATCTCCTACAACAGAAAAAGAGGGGGAAAAAATTGAGAACATAATAAATCACGAACAAGGTATTGCCAAAAACAAGTTTGTTAATGTATACTGCAGGTGGGCAAAATACTTAAGTATCATAAGAAAGCAAAATTTTCTGAGGCTTCTGGATAGTACTAGCCAATGGATTCTAAAACGTCTCTAACATGTTTCAGATTCTATAGATATCACTTTATAAATCCTAACCTTTCACACGATTTCAAATTTCCATAATAACCTCTCTTCACAAACATCTACATCTGAGCATTTCAATTAAAACAATCTTAACCTTCAAAAGTGCATATTGCCATATATTTAGAGGAAAAAAGAACTCATATTAGTCCATAAATGAATTAAAAACACCTAAGTCTAGCATATGACTCCCCATCTGTTGTCAATTAATATACATAATACGAAATGAAAGCCATTACAACTTAACTATCTATGTTTCCCCTCCAATCCCCAACACAGACAAAATCTTATCCTGGAGATTCTTGTTAATCAGTCTGGTCTTCAAACCAAATTTAATAGCTCCATACTCGTACGAGATGTAAATGAATAAGAAGAAGATAAACTGTCAATAATAAACAAATTTTTTCAAGTTTTATATAATTTTCTAGACCAACTGTCTTGATCAAATCTTGGGACTTTGGGCAGAACGGACAATATGCTGGTCTGATTTACAACAGATATCATACGAGTACAGATTACAAGGTGGCGTCAATTGCATATTGCAGAATGATTAGCTGAACACCATCATAAAACTTCAATCAAACTATGAAAAGGAAAATGCTACATATGAATAAAACAATTACTAAATTAAATCAAACCATATTGCTAAAATGCCCCATCATTCACTAGAATTCCATCCGATTGCTTCAAGTGTTAATAACTAAAGTCAAAGATGGTGCTATCCCAATCCCAGAGTGCTTGCGAGTTCTGATCCAAGTACTTAATGACCAAGGTTCTAATTGGAAAAATCAAATCATTTCATTTGGCTTTTATGCCAAACTTTCATGCCAATCCACAACTAATATGTTAGCTACCAAATTTAAAAGCCCCATGCTTGAAAAGATCTGTCTTTCATAAAAAGACACTCATTAATGGTAATATTCGTTTGATTTTTTGTTAAACATCAACTTCAATATGATATCACCAGACACCGTTTTAATCATTCTGAGTTACTAAGGCATAGCAGCTTTCACAACAGAAAAATAATACCGTCAACAAGGAATGCATACAAATGCTCCAAATAACACATTTCCTGAATTTAGTACGGTGGCTCCAGTATGTGCAACGAAAAAGTGAGTTAACAAAGTGAGAAAAGCTTCAAAGATCTGTTATATAAAGCACAACAATACAAATCTTATACCATAAAATCCAGAGAAATAGTTCCTTTTTGTTGCGAACCTCTCTTGACTTCATATATCAGATACTAAAATCCCCCGAAGCCTCCACATGAAAGGAGGCCAAAAAGAAAAAAGGAACAAAAAAAAAGTCTTGATCAATAATAGTAAGAATTTGACAAAAACTAATCATCCTTATTACCCAGAACGATTCAACAATATTTGAACATTTCACAAGCAAATTACCACATCGCAAAACAAAATTACCAAAGTAAACCTAACTCAAAAAACCATCAGATCAACAAATCAACAAAACCCATAAAGAAAAACTTTCCATGATCACAAATCAGAAAAAAAAAAAAAAAAAACCCATCAAAACCCAGATCACAAAAACCCCAAAAAAATCGAAGAAGATATCAAAGAAAAGAAAAGAATATAAAAAAAGGCACCTTTCTTGGCCAGCAGTGTCCCAAATCTGGGCCTTGATGACCTTCCCATCGATACTCAAACTCTTGGTGGCAAACTCAACCCCAATAGTGGATTTCGATTCCAGATTAAACTCGTTCCTCGTAAACCTCGAAAGCAAATTCGATTTACCCACGCCCGAATCGCCGATCAAAACCAGCTTGAACAGATAATCATACTCGTCGTCGGCTTTGTACCCAGCCATGCCCCTTACTCGAGAAAGTACCCCAAAAAAAGTATTAAAACGAAGAAAACTTGCTTCTTCCGTTGGGTTTTCTTCTCTTCCCAGCTCGAGATTAGCAAGAGAAGGGTAAAGTAGAGAGATATCGTACAGTGTGGGTTCTTTTTGTTTCTATTTTATTTATTTATTTTTTATTTTTGAAAAGAAATAAGGGAGAAAAAAACACTTTTTTGTTTTATCACTTGGTTCGGTTTGAAAGCTTCTTCTTTTTTTTTTTTTTTCTTTTTTTTTTTTTGAAAATGAGAAATGATAGGGACTGTTAAATGAGTTAGCTGGATTGTAGGCGCGTAAAAGGCGAAGGATACCACGGTTTTCACTCGCTTCTTTCTGTAACGTTATGATTTTTTTTCTAGTCGATTTGGCTTTGGGGATATTTTCTTCTTCAAGTAGTTTAAGTTATTTTTCTATAGAAAAATACATATTAAATTTAAATTATGTGCAATTGAGTCATCAAAGAATATATTATATATTATATTGTGTTTATATGATTATTAAATCTAATCAAAATCACATATTATATTATATTAAAAAAGTATATAGAACATATAATTTTTTTACAAATTTAACAGTTAAAACGTAGATAACTAATAGTAATTTATTTTTTCTAGTCATATCATAAGCTCTTTTATATTTATATTTTCTATTTTTAGCAAAATAAAACGTGTGCAATAATTTTTCCTTCACAATATTCCGAATGTCACTATAATAAGATAGTGTTTTATAATTTTTTGGACAAATTTCACTGGAGAGATTTTCCTTGAACTATATTACTTGTGTTAGCATGCCTATGAGCTTAAAAATATAATTAATGTGCTCTCCGATGTAAGAATATCTTCAATTCAACCCCTAAATTTTGAAACATGTTCTTTTTTAGATACACTAGTGTGCAATACACGTGAAGAGATTAAATTTTTCTATTTTTTAAAACTATTAATTTTTCGGATCCGTTTTCTATTTTTTTCCCCTCACATTTCCTTACTTTTTTGAACAACTATCTAGTGAAAAAATATATTATATAGGTAAGTTTTAGTCGCATAACTCCTAAATGTTAAAATTTACAGACAAATAGATCATAGAAAAAAAAAAAAAAAACATAAATGTTAAATACTGGTCTATGTTTCCCTTAAAAAATAATGGGCTATGTTGTCTTCTATAGTTAGTACCATATTATATCACAACGTGGCATGCCTAGAATGACTTTAAGAGAAAGCGTATTACATGTGCTAGAGCAGGAGTCCACACATCCACACATTGTCCGTACCAACATACAAACATCTCTTTTGTCCCTTTCATTTTACGTTTGTCTTTTCTTTTTGTTCTTGCGTTTATGTCAAAATGAAATGATTTCAATGGTTGTCCCTTTTTTTTCCTTTCTTTTTTAATTTGAGGTAGGATTTTTTTTTTGGTAAATGAGGTGGGAAATTTAAACTTAGAATCATGTGTGAAATTATGACTAAGCAATGTTTGATTTCTATAAAGAAAAAAAAAAAAAAAAAGAAAAGAAAAAGCTATGTTTGATTTCAACCATTTTGATACGAGTATAATCTAGGATGTCTCCAGACTCTCCACTATTTCACTATAATACAACTCAAAAGAAAAGAAAAAAAAAAAAAAAAAAAAGGTAAAAGAGATTTGAGAATTGTATCTGGTTCTCTCTCTTTTTTCTTTTTTCTTTTTTCTTTTTTTTTTTTAGCCGATATTTCACATTCGATTCACTGTAGTCACATACGTGTAAAAAGAAACTAGAGATACCAATGGATGTAGATCGCTTTCTTGCCCCCTAGGATCTTAAGATTGCAAAAATGCCACTAGACTTCACACTGCAACAGAGAGTTTGCAGTTAGCAAACTGAGCACCCCTGTGCATGACATGAGAACATGAAGACGTCTACCAACAAACCAATACTTTTGGCTGCTTTCTTTTGTGCTTTGGTTAATGAAAGTCCTAATTATTAAATGGAACTAATAAATAAATAAGTAAATACAAAGCGACTTTTACGATGAGACCTTAGTTAATAAAAGATGAATTACTGTTTTTAAGCCACTAATCTGTATTAAAATTGTGTGTTTTGTATATATTTTTTATTTTAATATAATTTTGATCAGATTTAATAATCAGAAATATGCACTATTAACACTGTCATAAAAGGACTAAAAAAACACATTAAAAAAATAAATAAAAATAAAAGACAAAAGCAATACTTCGTCAAAAAAAGGCGATGATACGAAGTTCAAACACCTCCCTGAGAAGATTATAAAAGCCCGTGGTACTGCAGTACTGCACAATTTGTTATACTTATATATGAGCAATAATAATAATAATAATAATAATATCAATATATAAAGACTTAACTCTATTTATTTCTTGAGAAAAACTACAAAAATGATATTTACATTTTCTCATTGTGGTGTTTGTCTGACGTTTGGTTCACGGATTCAGAATTATGATTCATAATCATTCTCAATTTATGCGTATTTTTTATGAGAGAAAATACTCTAGTTAACTATAATTCGAACTAATCTCTAATTTCCTCAACTCAACTTTAGGCCGAAACTCAACTTAGTCTATGGGCCTTCTCCTTCCTCTGCATTGCCTCGGCCCTGAGTCTATAGTCCATTTCGGTTAAGAGGATTGGGGGCTTATAACCCAATTTATGGAGAATTTGATAAGATATATTTTTGTTAATGTAATTATTTGATTAAAAAGGTTACGAATCAAGAGTAAAGGATAAAAATCTTGACCCATATACTTTCAAGAGGTATTTATCAAGATTATCCATTCTTTATACATATAGCAAAGAGAAAATGACTGAACTTACTCTTAAAAGTATATATGTCTAAATTTTTACCCTTAGTTTTAATTAGTACCATTTTATTAATATAATTATTTGACTAAAAAAATATTAATCAAGAGTAAGGGGTAAAAATCGAGATCCATGCACTTTTATGGGATATTTTGTTAAGATTTCTCTATAACAAATTGGGAGAATGAAGTAAATAACAGATTATAGTAAATAATTAAAGTAAATAGCAGATTTTATAACTATTTAAAATAAATAGTATTTACCGTGTAAATGATCATTCCTTAACTAGTAAAAAGATTTTTTTTCCCACGTGAATTTCCTTTTTACGACTAGTAAAATAAAATTTCCATGTAAATAACGATTTTTTACCACGTAAATTATTTTTACTAGTCTTAAATGAAACATTTTGCACGGTAAATTACTATTTACTTTAAATAGTTTTAAAATATACTATTTACTTAATTTAGTTTCATAAATATTATTTACCTCAATCTCTCTAGCAAATTTAAATAAATGAGAATGAGTAAATAGCATAATCTTTGAGGACAATTAAAAATAATGGCAGAAACTTTTGAAAAATGAAATAAATAGTATGTTTGAGAAAATCTGATTTCATTACTAAAAAATTTAAAGGGAAAATAAGACAAGAATGCATGATTTTAAATTTTTACCTCTTAATTAAAAGAGTATTAATTGAGAATAGAGAGTAAAAATCTTAAAATAATACATTGAATTCACTAATTTCTCAAATCCAAATACCCTCACAATGTGATACAGCTACTTAAACCCTAGCTTATAAAAATTTTCTCACTCTTTTTCTCTCTCCTCCACAATCAGCCGCATTGCTCTTTCTCTCTCCTCTTTCTCTCATCGCTCACTCACTCGCTCCTTCTCAAGATCGTTATCGGCCATAGATTCGTGATGATTTCAAGACGGAATTAGCGGCGTCATTATTGGATCTGTGAGCTTCTTTCCCTCCTGGCGTCTAGCAACACCGCCCGTAGATGACCTTTTCTCTACACACGATGGCGCCGCCATGGAGATTGTCTCCAAATTCGACGAAGAAATCTGCAACTTTGCTCTAGTTTTCTGATAAATAAATCATTTACTTGATAACTGGCTCATTTACGTAGAAAATGATTCATTTCCTGTGGCACCAAGATGAACTATCTCTCTCTCTCTCTTCCCGTTTCTCCATCATTCGTCGTAAGATCTGACGGATTTGAGAGTATCGGCTTCGACGTCTTGACGGTTTCTCTCTCCTCTTTCCCTCCCACGCATACCTATGTTTCTCTCCTCTCTCCCTCTATATATGTTTCTCCATGGATATGAGGTTCTGAGATTGCTGGCTTCAATGTCATGACAGAGTAACACAACAGCAGCCGCCATCGTCGCCGGAGAAGACGAACTTGACGAAGCTCGCGATCTCGCCATTCACATCGGGGGCATTTCGGCTATTCTGAAATTTCGTGTTAGGAAATATGTTATTTTCTTTAAATATTACTAGACATGTTGGAGATTGTTTAGTTGGGGGATTTGTACCCCGATTTGAATCATAATTCATGATTTGTTATAGTGTTTTCTCTCATAAAAAATATATGTAAATAAAAAATAGATCTAATCTTATGATTCTAATCCATGAACCTATAATGAAGATTTCAATTCTACTATTTGCTTATAATTCTCTTTAAATAACAAAGTTGAAATTTAGCAAAAGTTTTGAAATATTATAAGAATAGTAAATTTTGATATTATTAAAATAGTGACACATAATGAATATGTCATTATACAATATAAAATATGACATCACACGTATGATCATGCCATTTTACTATTTCCATATTTTTTTTTTTTAAGTTTTGCTAAATTTCACGGCCTCAAGACGTAAAATTTTTCCATGTGATGTGTAAATATCTCAAATTGTTTGATTATCACTATGTATCCTGAGAAAATTAGGAAGTGTATATTACACGGGATGAAATTTAGCAATTTTGTTGGGCTTATGACCCAATTTTGTTGGGTTCTTTACACATATAACAAAATTGAAATTTAGCAAAAGTTTGAAGTATTATAAGAATTAACAAAATTTGATATCGTTAAAATAATGACACATAATGCTATGTCATTATACAATACAACATACGACATTATTATTTTAATGATTATATCATTTTACTATTAATATAACATTAAAAAATTTTGCTAAATTTCACGGCTTCAAGGGATAAAATTTTGCCATATAATGACACTACAACAATAAAGGTTATTTGTGACGATATTTTTTACGACGACAAATGTCGTCGCAAATAATACAATATTTGTGATGACATGTCATC